AAAAAAAAAAAAAGAAAAAAAAAATTAAAACCAAAAACTAAACATTTATTAGAATACCAAAAAAGATTATTAAAAAAAAAGTCGCGATCCCAAGAAATAGTTGCAAGCAAAAACGTACACATGCATAGATCTATACAAGAAGAAAAAGAAAAAGAAAAAAAAAAAAAAAGGAAGAAAATAAAGCGAACTAAAACGAAAACACAATTAATGGATTTAAAAGAAATTATCATTAAAATGGGAAAATATTATATAAAAGATTTTTGTAAACTTAATCAAACGATTTTCTTTTTTCTTAGCAATTAAGTTAACAATAATTTGTGTAGTGAATTTATTATTATGATTAACATATACATATATATTTACAAAATCCTTACATATATATTTATATATATATAAGTATATATATATAAATATATAAATATATATATATATATAAATATATAAATATATATATATATATATATATGTATATATGTAAAATACAAAATCAATTATTATAAAAAAAAAAAGAAAAGAATAACAATCATTTATTTATTTATTTATATAGATATTAAGCAACGATGTGTAATGTTTTTTTATTATAAAAATGATAATAAAAAAACATTTACTTTTGTAAATTTTTTCATTTTTATCTTTACATAACCTATATACACAAAATTTCTATTTATTAATTTTGTTTTTTGAGTGTAATATTCACATACTTAAAAATACACGAATATATACATAAATTATTATTATTATTATTATTATTATTATTAATACTAAGTCATTGTGAGTAGTTCTTAATAGAAATAAACGCGAAAAACGCAAACAAAAGAAAACATGAGAAGATATTTCTAATTAAAAGTAAAAATTTTCAAAAATTAAACAAAACAAAAAACAAAAAAAAAAAAAATAAATCCGATTTAAATGCTTTTTAACGTACAAATCTGTACAAGTATTAGTTTTGCATGGCCTAAAAAAAAAAAAAAAAAAAAAAAAAAAAAAAAAAAAATGGAAAAAAAGAAGAAAAGAATTAGGACAATTTTACTCATTCACTGCTTGTGCTCGGATTTCTTTACTCAAGAATCATCATTATTTTGGAAAAATGAAGCCCTGAGTAGTTGTTTTCATTCAACATTTTTTTGTCCGCTTAGGACACAGAAACGAGACGAAGGCAAAGCATCCTTCTTCCTCGCGCACACCTTGGTTTTTTTTTTGAATTTTTATTCTTCTAAAAATTAGTTATTATTCTGCCTAAGCAAGTCTCTCTCTCTCTCTCTCTCTCTCTCTCTCTCTCTCTCTGTCTGTCTCTTTCTTTCTCCGTTTGCTTTATTATCAAAAAGGGCTTTCTAAAATTTACACAAGATTTGAATTAAATATAAAAAGGCAAGGGATCGCGAGATAAGAACTCAATGGTCGCGGCTTCACATCTCAAGTGTGGTAGGGTTTTCAATACAGATGAGCACATGATTTAAGTTACCCGGCAGCCTTAGCAAAATTTATTTACAAAATATATGTAGACAGTAAATAAGTAAATATTTCTATTTACATATATGTCCACGGCTTTACTGGCACATATGTACTCCTCTTAACTATTATTTATTAAAATCCGCACCAAACAGCGACACGTTTTGAGTGCATTTATTTTTCGATAATCACATGTGTGGGTTCTGTCAACTAAAAATAAGTCAATTGTAACGATTAACGAAGCCATCGAAGTGCAAATGTGTTTGATCGTCTAGGCTGCTTAGCAAATTTTCATTATTTTAGAAATATTGTTCGACAAGGGAAAAGCACTGCTCTTTCATGCAGTGCTCCTTTTTAACTAACCTTAAACTGGCGGCAAATTGATAGCTTGCATAAACTTTGAGACACCCTACATATTTATTACCCACTTGAAAGTAGGGAGACAAGTCTCTACCAGTTCGTGGCTACAGCATACTTCCGTGAAAACACTTGCTTTAAAAATCGAAAACTTAGCTGATTCGGATAACTAACTAATTGATCAATTATAAAAACTAAATGGTCATTATGGCGATAACAAAAGAGTATTTAACTCAGTTGATTACAGACCGAGTTAAAAATATGTTTGAATTTTCCTACCGTTCAACCGCTCAACATCAGTTGGAGTTGATCAAAGGCTTGATGCAATCCATTCTTCGTATGCATAGAACTGTACAGATTGAAAAAGAAATGTAGAAAGGGCCCTCACGAGCTAAATTCTAAAATCAAAGATATACATAAAATAGTTAGTTGATGGAAATATATTGCAATTTTTTCATCTACACTTTCAAAGTGGAAAAAATCGTAAATTTGATTACGATAAGGTAAAGTAAAAACGTTATGTATTGCTTGATAAAAGAATGCAATAAAGTTTGAGCAAATCGAAAACGTTATGAGCTCTCTTCATTTTCCAATTTAATTTTCTTAATTGATCGGAGATCCCATGAACAAAATTTTGAATTTGCGACGACGAGTTTCAAGAGCAGATAGATGGATGGATGGACGGGAAGCATTTGCCTATATACGAACAAATCAGTCGCTAGATAACATATAGTATACTTTGCGGGAGATAGCTTTCTCAATTTGTATGGCATATAACTCGCATATATTCTTCTATCCAAGCTCCTGCACCCTGTGTAAGCTTTCTGAAATCTTTAAGGCTAGAAAACTTAAACATTTCCTAAGTAAAACTTTCCATTTTTTACTTTATCATATGAATTGATGAGATGTTATAACCTCACATTTTTCACAAACAAGAGATTTGGAGAGATTCACTTTTGCGAATAGATTCCAAAATTAATTGCAGCTGGCTATTTCTTTTTTAATTTTGACATAAAATTTGTTTTTCAATTAATAATCAATCGAAAGTGAAAATTGATCGAATGTATCCTAAAAGAAATACTAGAGCTACTGAATGATATATAAAAAGAAATAAATTAAACGATATCACACCATATAGACATCTGAATATTGTTGTTATTTAAAAACTTTTCGTGTATTGTACAAATGAACAATTGATACATTTTGTTAAAAAAAAAAAAAAAAAAAAAAAAAAAAACAAAAAAAAACAAAAAAACGTAAACACATAATACGTTAATTTAATGGGACACTATATTATCACCACATCTTCAAAATAAAATCAAGTAAAAACATTATAGTAGGAGCACAGTCAACCATTAAATACCCTACTCCACTTCGTTTAATATAGCTATTGATATAGCGACTTTTCAAAATAAGGCGTTATATGTTATATGGGAGGAGATCGTGAAAATGATCCGACCCGAAACAATTTGCAATAGTGTTCGTCCTTGGGCAAAAATATGCCGTAACGTATACCAACTTTCCTGAAAACATCTCCAAATATTTTGATTTGTATATCGAACATAAGAACACAAGACAGATGAACGGACAGGCATACAGACAGACAGACAGACAGACAGACAAGCTGAAATCGATTAAGATAGTAATTCTGAATACTTCGGTACAACAAAATATGGGTCTATCTCAGGTCCTTCTGGGTGTTGCATACATTCGCACTAACTTGGTATATCTTTGTACAATACAAGTGGTGTAGGGTATAAACATGAAAATGAAAAACACATCGCCTAGAAGACAAATATGAAAAGTATATTTATACCTATTATCTAAGCTAAGATGGAAAGTTAGGAAAGAAATTTACTTAAGCAAAATTTTTAATAATAATTTTAAAAAAATTGGAATTTTCTTTCCCGCCAATCGAAGGAATTCTTCTTCAATCATTTATAGCTATAAATCTCATATGTAACGATATTTGACGATATGACAATGTTGGCTAAGTCTGTCCCTACTTGCGTCGCTATATCCGTTAGCAGTTTGATAAAGAAATTACCAAAGTTATATAACAATCTATGTCCATCCGTCAACAGTCTACTAAAGAAATTGCCAAAGTCATATAGACAATCGAGATAAGTAGCTTTAACGTGGAAAATACTTTCTTAAAACTCGACAAATGCAGATAATCTATGAAAAATATCATTGTAAATAGCTTTTGCAAAAATTTGATGTGATCAGGCGATCATAATCAATCACCTGAAAGCATTCGCAATGGATTTTTCGTTAGCAGTGATAAGTATAAGTATGACATTTCTTATTTGTCTTAAATAAAAAATTTTAAATCATCAAATCATAAAAGAGAAGCAAAATACATCTTAGAGACAAGAGCCATGACGGTGGCAGAGAAGGCGATCACGATCACAATCCCAAATTCAACACTATACAGAACTGTGATGATGAAAAAATTGCACACAAACCAATGTGTTTGTAAAATAATTTTGGGCTTACATACTCTCATCCATACATACATACATGCATACATACATACATATACACTTATGTACGTGCATACATACAGAGAAATTTCTTTTCTAAATTATTAAATTCAATTAAAATCAAATAAAAATGAGTTAAAGTTTTTTAAATGCCCATCAACTATGTACGCATACGTACATACATAAATGCATATATATACATATATATATATATGAATATATGTAATATAAATGATCTTCATATAAAATGAATTATATATATATATATATATATATATATATATATACGTATGTATGTAATAATGTTATTAAATCGAAACA